ATCGACAAACTGCACAAGCGCGAGTGTCCATGGCGAAGTAACATCAATTGTCAATAAAGCCTCAGCACGGTTGGCCCTGGGCGAAACAACTGAAGCGAAATCATTTTCTAGAAAGGCACCCGAGGTAGAAATCGCCATGCGACTGATCCTGTCAACATTCGGGGGCCGTGAGGCAGCGTGCATGCTCTCAACTTCAGTGGCGGCAAGGAACGGTCTTACCATCAGAGGGTTTGCACCTATTGCAGCTCCAGCACATCTAGTCAAGACTTCCTCAGCGAGACCTCGCGTCAGGGTGTTGAAAAGGTGTACTGCGCGTCTCCCTCCCTGTCCCAGCCCAGCTTCAAGCAGCACCAGAGTGCTGCCCAGAAGAGGACCTAAACGGACCCTGCACTGGTCATGTGAAAAGGAAGAATCAAGACAGAGCCAAAAGCAACCCTTTACTCCAGCCCACTTTGCTTGCAGCAAGATAGCATCTTTCCAAGCTAAATCGTAACCTTGCAGGAGGTCGGACTTAAGGAGAAACGAGGGAAGCCGCCACGCAGCGCGGGCCTGCAGTGCCAACACTAGTCCTAGAGCAATCAGGGAGCTGTCGGTGCAGCCTCCACCTTGCTCCATGCCTGCATAGGTTTCCAATGCGCTTCGCTGCCGGTGGAGCCAAACCAAGTCAAACAGCGTCTCCAAATCGTCCGTGTAGCAGATTGGCCGAAGATTGCTTAAATCACTAACAACAGGCGGTCCACGCTTGCGGATAGGGGAGATTTCTCTAAGCCAGCAGCTAGGAATCAACCCTAAAGCAAGGAACAGGTTCAAGAGCAGGCAGTGCAACCGTCTGACTGGCGCGGCGCTGCAACGAAGTACAGCGCGAGGGAACCTCAGTGAAGCCTTCCCTTGGAGTACAGAGTTGATGTGCCCGTCAACCTCATCTTGCGAGACGAGTAGGTGTGGCTCGTGTCTCGCCTCTTCCTGTGCAGTGTGCCTGCAGATGCGGACCTGTTCCGTAACAGCTGCAGTAAAGTCCGCGTCGCCTGCTTCAGCTTCCAAGTGTCGAGTACGAATGTTGTTATCTAGAATTGCTACAACGTCAGCATCGCGCAGAATGTTGCCAGTGCCATCTTCCCTAACAGCTAGCTGTAAAGGAAGCCTGGGCTTCAGCAGATTGCTTAAGAAGGTTTGGGCTTTGGCAGGGCACTCTTGCTGAAGCTTCAAAAGCCGCAAAACCTTAGAGTGCCGATCTGAACCTAATAAGCAATCAGAGATTTCCTGCCACTCCGAGGGATCATCACAAGGATTGTCTCCAAACCAGTTGAGCAAAAACTGCTCAACACGCTGCCTATCACCTGACCCGGCACTAGAACCATCAGCCCTGCTAGTGACGGCAAGACCAGACATGTGGCCTGCCATAACCATAAGTGCAGCTCTCCACCAGGTCACTTTGTCGATCAGAGCCTGTCTAAGTGCACGTTGGGTTCCTTCAACCACAGAATCACGAATGAACGTGTCATGAAGAATCGCAGAGATCCAATCAATGATGAACATGAGTGATGTAGAGACCAAGGACAAAGCACGATCCCAGTCTTCCACATGGGGGCACCAGCGAGATCTGCCCACTAGAGAAAGCGGGGAGAAACGGACACAACCCAGATCAGTGACAAGAATTGCTCCGTGATCAGACCGTAATTCGAGGCTTGTGCGGTCAAGCCGCTGCACAGACGGAAAAAAACCCTCCGAAGAAAACACCAGATCAATGGTGGATCCGGACTTGTGTGTGGGCCCGTCAAAAGGTCCTCGCAATTGGAGGTTCATCCCATTAGGAAGGTCCTCAACGAGGAGGCTCTTCAATGCTCTATCAACCGGCTTCTCTAAAGATCTATCCTTTTCAGACAGCAAGCCATCGTGGAAATTGAAATCCCCAACAACGACCACTTCCCAATTGCGATAACAAGCACGAGTCTGCAGCGCCTGCAATTCAAGCAGCCTTTGTTGCAAGAAATCAATGCGCTCAAGGTCCGGGTGGTTAGAAGGGGGCCCGTACACTGCTAGGATCAGCAATCCAGGCTCGTGCTCACTAAGACGCGCTTCCAACCAGATGGCTCTGGCATCACCCATATCAGAAATGGGAAGAACAACCCTCTGCAAGTCAGCAACTATCAAGACAGCCACAGATCCAGGTGAGTGCAGCCGATAACCATGGAAATGAAATCCCGTCCATACAGGCCAACGCATCCCTTCAGCAAGCCGCGGTTCCGAAAGGACAGCAATGCTGACGCCTAGTCTTTGCAGCATCTGCGACAGGCGAGCAATGCGACCTTCGTGCGCTTCCAAACCCCCTGCTGAGCTCAACGCCCCTTGAACATTCCAAGCTAAACTGCTTAAGGGAACACTGTCCAAAGGTCGTATACGATGCCCAGCTTTATTGGCACTCATGCCGCCTTCCCACGGTCCGTACAGGGAATTAAACCTCAGTGAACCGGCAGCCTCAGTAGCAGCCTTATCCAATTTA